ATTTTCCTTTCATGTATTTAGGGATGTGATTTTATTTAATACCAGAGTGAAAGAATATTGAGACCTGAGCCGGGTGGTGCTGGTGCACGCCTTTAATCCCAGCCCTCAGGAGGCAGAGCCAGGAGGATCTCTGTGAGTTCGAGGCCAGCCTGGTCTACAGAGCAAGTTACAGGACAGGCACCAAAACTACACAGAGAAACCCTGTCTTGAAAGAATATTGAGACCTAACGTGAGTTAGTAAGAGGATGCACTCAGTGTCTCTCCTGCAATGCTGTCATGAATTGGGTCAGTCACACTCAACACTCAGGGCTAAGTCAACTTGGAGTGAACCCTAATGTGAGATTGTATTAATTTAACCATTTAGATCATGGTGACTGCGCATGAGAATCCCAGCAAACACCACAGATCCCTCAAGTAGCAAGGCCTGTGTCTTGCCTTCCTGAAACCTAGTCATGGAAAGGGGAGTTGGAAGCAGGGAGTGAGTTCCCTGCAACAAGTGTGAACAGCACTGTGCACTGCGGGGTGGGGTGGGGGTGGGGGGGTGGGGGGGTGTATGGGGACTTGAGTGACGTGGCTAAGGGTGTGGCGGGTGCTATAAGCTAATGCATGAAGCTGAGGAGGAAAACCTTTCTGGCCAGAAAAAGACCAGAAGACTGTGTGGCTCTTACAACTGCAAGAGTAGGGGATGGGGCAAAATGACAGGAAAGGCTGGGAATCGGACACTTCAGTTGTTCGCACATGTGGGTCTTGCCTTTCCTGGTCCCATGTCACTCCTGTAGAGATGTGCTCTTATGTTCCATACATGTTTACAGTGTAATATGATCGTATTCATCCCTGTTTTCTCCTCTCCTCCCTGCCACCGTTCCCCCAACACACCTCTTTCCCATTTTCCTGTCTTCTTCTTTTTTCTTTATTTGTTCCGTTAGCGCTGGGGCGAAGGGCATCATCCACTGGAGAATGGACAACCTCTGTAAAAGAATGATCCGCTCCCCAGGAGCCATCAGCTGCCAGCTGTTCCTCAGTTAGGGTGGCTATCGACTGTCTCTTAGTGGGGTGTCTCTGATGTTTTCTGTAATTTCTTGGAAGCTGCATTGTCCACTCGTGCATGGTACCTACATTTGAACTTTTTTTTAAATCATATTTTGAAATTATCTTGCCTACTAGTGGGTTTCCATAAGGCTTTCTCACAACCTTACTTTTGGTTAACCCATTCCTTACCTCATCCCCCTGCTTCCATCCAGCTTAACACTTTAATCCCTGTACCCCTGCTTCTTCTTCTGTG